TAGTGCATTATTTAATTCAATAAAAATTATTTTGTGCATTACTACCATTAGTATAGAAAAGTAGGGTTAAGTGTCATTAAGAATTGACAGCAAGAAAAAGAAAACTCAGGAAGGTACTTTATTTGTTGTTTTTCATGTTTATTCTTTATTTATTATTATACAAGTAACTAAAATGTAAAATAGGGATCTCTTTAGGTTAGTTAAGATTAGATTAGGTAAAATAAACAATAATATTAATATAATAAAAATGTTTCATGAGGCACAAATGTGAGCAGCTCATGGGTAACATAATTCAATAGCATATAATAAGCTCCACGTTTTCCAAGTGATTTACAACTCAAAACAATAGAATTTAATTATAAATAGATGTATATTGTTATGAGTTTAAAGCTACTTAGGATAAACAAATGTAGTTTCATGTTACAATTTGAAGTCATTCTAGAAAGAAAAAAAAAGGTAATTTAGGTTTATTTAATGGTGGTTACAAGGTTGGGGTAGAGAAAATAACAGATAAAATATAAAGTTTTACTAAAAACAAACATTTGAAATGCATTTAGGGAGATTAAGAGATTTAATCCGAAATTTTTGAGATGAATAAAAGTATTTTTAACTTTAACATGAAAATCACTTTGTTCATGGACTATTTAAAACAAATACTGAATATACTTATGGAAAAATTTTTTAGTTTATTTAAAATACTTGTGAAAGACTTATAATGTTTACTGAAAGACTGCCAAATTCTGTGAAGATATACCTACTATATTAAAAGTTAGTAGTATCAAATCTATAAAGACTTGATACAAGTACAAAGAGGTCACGTGGTCAGTCGAGTTGACCGAGCCTCTGTTGAGAGGGTTAAGGGAACTGATAACATTGCTCCATCATCTTTTTTTTCATATTTAATGATGAGATTAGTAAGACTAAGGGACAGAAGTATAAATTTTATCAGGGAAAAAGGTACTTTCTGCTAAGATAGCTTTATTTTTATAAAATGGTAGTTGGCCTTTGGAAAACAGGTTACCTTCAGATGTGGTGGATGCGGTTAATTTAAGGGATAGCTGGATAAATACTTAAATGATTATGTCTGGTTTTGAGGTTTCTTTTAAATAAGACTTTAGTTTCATTTATGGATAAGACATCCTAAATGGACCAAAAGGTCCCTTGTTGTCCTTTAATGTTATGTTATATTATGTTACATTTTGTCATTCTTTATGAGATAATGTTTCATTCTAATAAATCCAATAAACATAAAAATTAACATTTACCTCAAGGTTTTCACAGCAAAAATCATTTTCTAGACTTGTACAACCAGAATCTGTCTGAAAAAAAATAAATAAATAAACATAGTAAACAAAGTGTTTTGTTAGAAACAGGAAATATTACTATATTTAACCTATGGTAAACAAACACAGTCAGCTACCTTCCTTGTGTATCTGCCAAAGAGATTTGCATGCCACTAGCCTTAAGGCAACTCTCACCTAATTTCATGTGATCTAAGATGAATTATGCTAATTTATGATGAAATCATGTGGCAAAGTCCTCTACCAATAGGAGGGGGACATACATTAGAGAAATTCATATGTTAATGAGAAAAATAATACAAAGGTGCAAAAGAGGTGAAGAGGAATGGTAGAAATGTATATGAGGAGTTGAGTATCTATAAGAAATACATTTTCAGGTAATGAGAATTTTAACTTCTGAGACTATATCACACCTCTCCACACAGCTAAATCTCACGTTGAAGTGGTGGAGGAGCTGGTGCATAATCTTACCTAAATGAGATTTCTTCAGAAAATCCCCCAAAAAACCCAAGGAATGTACCATCCAAAAGCAGGGGCTCTATGGGGGCACACCAGTGGAAGAATGCACCTCATCTCATCTATGGTATACTTTTCACACAGGAAGAAAGGGAGGAAGAGGCAAGTGAACCCTATGTGTTGCAGGGATGGGTAGAATAAGAATATGGTTCTCCGAGCACTTGCACATAAGTTTGGAGAGCCAGTATTTGTAGCATGGTTGGAGTACATTCAGACTGTACCTTGTATGCTCATCTCAAATCTACCATCACAATTTAGTGGACCAACAAAATCTGCAGAAAGAGAGCACAGTAGTCATACCATAAAGCACTCAACCAAACATAACAGCCACAGGAGGAGGGCACAGTATAGTAGTGTGTGTTTGTCTCAACTCAAATGAATGATCAACATCTGCAGGAGGAGGGCACAGGTGTATAGTGTCTGCTCACCTCAATTCTACTGAACAGACAGTGCCTGCAGGATGAGGGCATAATATCATAATGTGTTCTTGCTTCAACTCTACAGAACAGGGTGTACTAAACTCAACTGAACAGACTTGGGCTGCAAGAAAAGGGCACAAGTGGCATGTGTTACAGGTACAGCTATAATATGAAGGAGTACCTGTACTACATTGACAGTGTCCCTGCCATCCTACTTCCATCTATAGTGGTACTTAATTGTCTATTACTCCAGTGTACAAGTTCAACCACTGAAGGTTCTTCATGGTCCACCATCCCTGCAGCTAGAAAGAGGTAAGCAGTAAGCATCTCCTGTGCTCCACTTAATGAAAAAAAAAAAGGGGGGAAGAAATTTGTGGTGGGGAAATCCAGAAAAATGTTCTGATCCCTGTCAGTCTTTCATTCCAGAAAGGAGACAATGCAATGGATGGCAGCAAAATCCTATTTTGAAAAACCAGCGAGCACAAACCAGAGAAGTGGGCAGAACACACCTCTGGTATTGACTTTTTCCATGATAATCCAGGGAATGTGTATGGTCTGGATCTGACAAAAAAGTCAATATAAAAGTACACCACAAAGATACCTCTCGTGGTCTTGCAGACCACCCAAACATCCCATCTGACTGTGGGTGTATATGGAGCCAGGGAAGATGGTATGAACACTTCCTGTTATCGTGGCTTGATGCAGATTTTGGAAAATAAGTATACCTTGGTTGGCACCACAAGCCACTTGGCAGAATCCTAAGAATGCAAATGGGGCTCTGAAAGAGAAATAGTACATATTTTTCTTAAAGACATGAGAAGCTGAAAACCATCAGAAGATAAAACAGCCAGAAGGTGTAGAGAAGACAAATGTGTGGAGAATGTCCAAATGCCTGCCTGGAGGAGCCTGTCTTAGGGCTGGTGAAGAAATGTAAGAAAAGAGAAAATGAAATGCGAAGAAATGGGAAATAGTCTGAGCATCCCCAACTTGAGGGTAATATGCCAACTGGAGAAGGTAATAACAGACACAACTAGTAAGGGGAGAAGGAAAGGGGTTCTTAGAAAAGGAAATCTCTGAATAGGTACACTGAACAACCCAAATGGTCATGGGAGCCAATTTGGCTCTGAAAGGTCCAATAGGCAAGAGACAGAAGGAAAAGAGATAGTAAAGAAGTATGGGCAATCCAAAAAGTAGTTAAAGACAGAAGAAGGAAAGATTGGACCAGAAAAGGGACACAGAAAGGCAATAGAAGAAGGTGCAAGAGGCAACTATAGAATAGACATCCGAACAGCAATAATAGTAGCTATGAAGGAGGAGGAAACAAACCAAGATAGAAAGATGGTACAAAAGGCAGGAAGCTAATGGCTTGAATGGGATATGAACCAGATCATATAAACCCCATTAAGGTCTCAGTCAGGTATTTGAGCACAGTGAAGATGATGGAAGAGAAAGAAAGTGCAGTACAAAATAGAGATAACATGGGGGAAAAAAACCCTCATGGTACTGGGAAAGAAGAAAGGCCATGAACAAGACCTCCTGAAAATTAGTTGAGGCACAGACCAAAGAGCCCATGATAAACAGTCAAGTAAAAAGGTGTCCACAAGATGACTGCTAGGAGGAAAGGAGTGGCAGAAAGGTAGAGGTTATTCCTGTTATTAGTGTTAATACATGTACAACTATAAATAAGCTATTTTGCAAATATTTTAGTTGTATAAATCTGAAAAAAAAGTACTAATTTAGCATTAGAACTTATGCCTTGTAATAATGCAAAAACTAGAAAAAGTAGGCTTGTCTTGTATTTAAGGACTGCTTACCATGATTCAGTTTTTACCTTGTAATTTATTTCAATTTTTGTTTCCACAACAAAACTACTTTTACATGTACTTTATTAACTTTCATACTGCCCTTACAATTTATGATGTTAGTAAGAACATATGAACATTCCACTCTGCTATAAAAGATTCTAAATTCAGTATCATATGTTATCATAAATATTTCTGTTACTTCTTATAAATATGGAATTATGTGAATAATCCAGGTGTGTCACTTGTAAATATGTAATCAATAATACTCAAATACACAAAGTTAAATTCTACTTTGACATACAACAGTCTTTCATCAGCATACCCCAATGGCTGATTTACTGTATTATATGCAAACAATGTGGAAAATTATATATTGAACAAACAGGCTGCCATCTAGGCAACAGAATTCAAGAACATCTTAGTCATGTAAGAAGATTGGATAAAGACCATCCCACTGGATGACACTTTAGTAGCTTAGAACATCAATGACTTCTCTATAGTGGGACTCAAATATGTACCATCTGATACTGTACAAAGAAAATGACTTGAAAATCTAACAAAAACTGGGGACTCTCCACCCACATACATTAAATGAACACTTTTCCTTTCTTTAATTCTATCAATAATATATCTTCATATGATCACGGGATTTATCACATTATTTTTAATTTTATGTAGTATATCCTACTTTTATGTAGTTCGCAAGTACTTATAATGCTACACTGTTATTATATTCTCTTCTTTATTGCAAGTATTGTTGTACAACATCACCAACCTATATAGCATTGTTTAAACCACATGGTGTTCTTTCTCTTTCAAATCTTTAATAGTATGTATTAAGGTCTTAAGAAATGCTGTAGCCAGAAATGTCACCTATCCATAAATTAAGTTATTTTGGCAATATATAAACCCTTCATGTTTTTTGCTGCTTCAACAATCAGTGCATTAATAACAATATCATAAGCAACTATAAGACACTTGCCTTGTGGGAAAGTTATATCTAGATTATATGTAAAGATATATAAAAATGACCACAGTAATTCATAAATAACTTACTTAATCAAAACAGTATTTTGCTATTATGGCTTCAGCTAAAATCATTCAGTCAGCACTACAAAATCTAAAGAAAGAAAATTTCTGGGAAAGTGCTGGCTGAGAAGAAAAAAAAAAGGGAGAAAATAAAAGAATTAGTTATTGGATACACACACCAATCTGTCTGCATTCATTAAGTAGATCACGGGCACAGGCACTTCCCAAAATCTCTATATCTGGAATACTACTCTAACCGAAAAAGTCAGAACCTGATTACACATGTCCAGACACATCAATCTGGTTACATTCACAGTTCCCAACAACTCTGTATCTGAAACACTACTCCAAAATGGAAGTTTATGATCCTCCTAGACTTATTAATCAATAGTTCAAATGTGAAGTGTATCACAGGCTTGTGTTTTGATTTTACAAGATATAATCCTAATATTTGTAAAAAACTCTTGTAACAGTATTTTTTCACCATGCGTATGAGGTATGTAGCATATATAAAAATTTACATAAAGAATTCTTGTGTAAAAATTATTTTCTAGGTTATGTTATTAGTAGAATACTTCATTGTTATTTAAACTGTTAACATACTTTGTATTATAGATGTGTCTAAATATCTTTTAGTTATTAGTCTACCCTATATAGATAAAATTATTTAATTATCAAGAATTAGCTAAAAAATGTTATTTGTATGGTATACCTGCAGATACAGATGAGGTGTGTTTTCAAACTTAATTGTCCCCTCAATTTATTATTTAAATTCAAGGACCAAATTCCTACTTGACAATCATCTTTTGTTGTTTATAGATTTACTTGTCCCACTTTCAGCAGTGTTGCATTATTTCTACAAAAAATTACTAACACATCTGAAAGAACATGTTAACTTAAGGTTAAGTCCAATATACTTGTACATGCCTGCTGATGTTCCAAGTATTTCACAAATGGATGCAGTCACATTGGTAATTAGCAAGTTTGCAAAAAAAGGTATTCAAATATTAATATGGTTTTTGTCATGAAGTGGTCATAATGACAGTCTTAATTGTCTGTCTCATGTAAAATGGAGCAGTGCTTTTTGAACGTACTGTATTATGGTCTCAGGAGAAGTAAAAAAGCTAATTTTAAACTTTCTACAACAGTATAATTAACAATTATTACAGAGAATACATACTGAAAATAGCATCTTTGATTCCAGGAAATGAGCAATGTCTTCATGTTCAGCTCTTTCGGCAAGATCACATGCTGTGTCCTTGTCATTGTTTTCTATAAACAGTGGTGCTCCATGTCCTGACAAGAGCTTTTAAAAATACTAAACTGTTAATTGTATAAGTAACATAATCATACTGAATTAATGCTGAGAAAAGTAATGTATTCTAAATAAACCAATATTAAAATTGACAATAAGTATACAGGTACTCTTAAAATTCATTGACAATTAGTTATATATTACAACAGATATAAAAAATTCCTTATATACTTGGCCTGCTAAGGTCAATGTAATCTAAAATTACCACACCTACATGTACAATATATTTATCCACAAGAACACTTAGAAGCAAACATGTCAAAGAGATGAGTATCTCTATCTCTGCTAAGCCACAATAAATAACCTTTCTTTTAATCAATGTATTACATGTGTCATATTTTAAATTACTAATACTAAATCAGATCATGCTTTTAGGTAGAAATCTTAGTAAAAGCAAAAATGAAACATCAGTCAAATGAGAGTTATTCTGTATATCTTGAAACACAATTTTTATCTATTTATTGATGTCATTCAGTTGACACAGTTACGTGTATCTAAAGCAAATCTACCACATTAATATCAGATAATCAAGGATCACATTCCTTAGCAGTGCATTTATAGACAACTATTCATTTTACCACCATGTAGCAATCATGGCATGATTAACTACATTTTTCAATGCCATAAGATGTCCTTAGTATTTATAATGTAACGTTTTTCACTGAAAGACATCAACTTAGTTTTTCATGACTGTTTTCTACCATATGTCACTGAAATAACATGATCATACACACAGTATCACCACCTAGTTGTACTTAAGAGTTAGTTATGAAAAGACACAATTCCTGATACAACTCATACACTGATGTACTAGGCATACCCATGTATTTTAGGAAAAACTTTACAAACGTAATACTGAACAGTCAAATTTTTGTACAACAATAAAAGCTGAAAAAAATGTATTTTAGATAGTAAACTAATATTTGTGCACAATATTGAAAAATGATATTTCTCATTTTACACAAACCAAAATAAAAAATATTTATTTTTTATATATATTAGTAGTTACTTAAATAAGAGTTCCATATGGCACCCCCACTCAATTTAAAAAAAAATTCATCAAAGTAATATTTATGTATTAATAAATCATATTAATAGTATGATCTGATAATTTTAATACATTTGTATACCACTTACTTCATTAATTAGATTTACAATCTTCTTGGGGATAAACATCCAGGCAATTCTACAATTTTTGGGTGGGGGTGCCATATGGAACTCTTTCCATTACTTATGATTATTCAATTTTGGTTAACCATGTTTTTGAAGACAACTGTCTGTTAAGTAGAAATATTCTGAGTGGGTGCCAATTTTCAAGAATTATATGCTTTAGAGTAATGCTAGACTAAAAAGTCATTGGCTTTCCAAAAAATAACATGAAAAAAAGTATTGGTTTTGTATATTTCAGCTTGACATATTACTAATACTAAATCAGCTGCATGCTGTTATAAAAATAGAAAATCAAAACGAAATTCTACAGAATTTGAAAAAGAATGCTATGCTAAATACATCAAAATGATATACCTAATACACATAAAAGTAAATGTGATAATATTAACTAAGTTTTGAAGGAAATACAATAAGGAACAGATAATGTTCAACATGTAGTAAAACAACAAAGTTATAGTTCTATAAAAGAAATTCAATACAAAGTCATGAATAAATGGTATTTTGCAGCTCATTAATAATTACGTTTAAGTAATAATTATTTTTAACTTTGTTTAATGTAAACTGGAGTGTATTACAAGACATTTTTATAAACGTAAATAAAATAACAACCTATATCTCCAGAATGTAACTTTATTAGCTCAATATTTTGCTATTACAGCTTCGTCACGAGCTATTGATTTCTTACCAGTTCATTAATCCAGTTGAATCAAAGTTGGAAAACCATTAACAGTAAATTCAGTAAATGTTTATATGCAGCAGTTATTGGGTAAGTAGATTAATATCACTGCTATTACAATAGTATACATATAGATTTTATTGTTGGACTCTTTTCTAATTGCAATTTATACCAACTACTCTTTTGTACTTGTACTTAATGAAGATGCTTGAGGAAATGTACAAGTTTGTGGTTCAGAAAATAGCTATGTAGTTTTGATCGGTTTGGTAAATTCGGGTTTTCTATTTTTTCATAAGATATGAAACAATCGATATCAATGAATTTTTCCCAAGTAATAACTAACTTTATTCACAAATTATTTCAATAAACAGGCAAGTTAGAGTTCACAAAAAAATTATTATTATCATGAGATTTTTAATTTCCCACTTCTAGAATTATTTATCTATTTTTAAACTGGATTGACCCCTGACTTAAAAAATGAAAACATAACGAAGAGTAATTATGAGTTCACTGTTTAGTTGGTCAAACCAGTACTTGCTTAGGACCACAATAAGTATGGTCTTTCACAATGATTACCTGGTTTTAACTGAAACAGTACTTTCTTCTATATATGTACTGAATAATCTATTTTGCTCTATGTCTTAGATCACCACGCGGGTCTGGTTGGCCCAGCTGTTTACAAAACAATCAACACTTTCAATACAGACTCGGTCAATCTGACTGACCACATGACCTTTTTTGTATTCATTTAAAGTCTTTATAGATTTAATACTTATAACTCTCAAAATAGTGGGTATATCTTCACGAAATTTGGCAGTCTTTCAGTTAATATTACAAGTCTTTCACATAAAAAAAGTGGAGTATTTTTAATAAAATAAAATAAAGATTTGTTCATGAATATAATTGAGCATTTGTTTTTAATAGTCCGTGTGCAAAGTAATTTTCATGTTAAAATTAAAATTACCTTTTCTCATTTCAAAAATCTCAAATTTCCTTTGTGTAATCCCTAAAACCTCATAAATGCATTTCAAACGTTGTTTTTTTCAGTAAAACTTTATATTTTATCCGTTATTTTCTCTACCCTATCTCTAAACTGGATGGGTCAATTTTACAGACCTCGTAATAACTAAAAAATATATACATATAAATCGAAATAAGCCTAAATTACCCTTTTTTCTTTCTAGAATGACTTCAAATTGTAACGTGAAACTACATTCCTTTATCCTAAGTAGCTCTAAGTTTGTAATATTATACATTTATTTATAATTAAATTTTATTGTCTAATTACCCTTTAAACCATGTCTAACTACTATCCATGCCATTGTAAGTTGTAACTCACTTGGGGAACATGCAGCTCATGTTACACTATCAAATTACATTACCCACGAGCTGCTCGTGTGCATGCCTCATGAACTGTTTTAATTATATTATCATTATTACTTATTTTACCTAATATAGTCTTAAATAACTTAAAAAGATCCATACCTTTAGATTTTAGTTATTTTTACAATAGTAAATAAAGAATAAATATGAAAAACAAGAAATA